GAGGTACTGGGTGAGACGCGAGGTGGATTCAGAGGAGACAAGGCAGCGTGGTTCTGGAACGAGGAGGTCCAGCGAGTCGTGAAGCAGAAGAAGGAAGCATACAAGCGCTGGCAGAAGACACGGAGCCCCGAGGACCTCGCTACCAGAGTCAACCCTGCGTTGCGCAGTTCTCAACGGCCACGTTGCGCAGTTTCGCCCGATTAGACACGTTCTCTCGCGCGAACATTCACACTCGCATGCTCGAGCCGTCTGCGTCTCCGCCCATACAGCGTGCGTTGAGGATCTCTCAACGTGCCGTTGCGAACTGCGCAACGCAGGGTTGACTCTGCTCGCTACTTACAGGAGTTGCAAGAGGCTCGCTAAGGCTGCTGTCGCCAAAGCCAAGAAACAGAGATGGACGCCTTGTACGAGAAGTTGGAAAGCAGAAACGCAGAGAAGTTCGTCTTCAGGCTGGCTAAGGCCCGGCATCGTGCTACTCAAGACATCAGGGTGGTGAAAAGTGTAAAAGGCAGCGATGGTGTCATCCTAAGGAAGCCAGCCGAAGTCAAGAGGAGGTGGGAAGAGTACTTCACGGGGCTTCTGAACGAGGAGTTCCCCCACAAGAACAACTCACGGGCAGAGGCCACAGCTGGTCCCATCGCACTCTGGACTGAGGATGAGGTTAGGTGTGCACTTGGGAGGATGAAGGTTGGAAAGGCGGTTGGTCCAGATGGGGTGCCAATCGAGGCATGGAAGGCGCTCGGAGAGTACGGCATAAGGTGGCTCACCAGCTTCCTGAACAAGGTAACAGTGGAAGGAAAGATGCCGGATGCATGGAGGACAAGTACTATCGTCCCCATCTTCAAACAGAAGGGTGACGCGATGGACTGCTCCAACTACCGCGGGATCAAGTTGACTGCGCATACCATGAAGTTGTACGAGCGCTGGTCGACTCGAAACTGCGGGAGCTGGTCCCGATCTCCCAGGAACAGTTCGGGTTCATGCCCGAAAGGTCTACAACGGATGCCATCTTCATCGCTAGGCAAGTGATGGAGAAGTATCGAGAAAAGCGCCGACCCTGCTACCTAGCCTTCCTCGACCTGGAGAAGGCGTTCGACCGGCTACCGCGAGCAGTGCTATGGAGGTCGCTCAGGGAACGAAACGTGCCAGAACACCTGATCTCGCTGGTGAAGGACATGTACGAAGGAGCCAAGGCAGCCATACGCACCCCTCACGGCCTAACGAAGGAGTAAACATCACGGTTGGGGTGCACCAAGGGTCAGCTCTGAGCCCCTTCCTCTTCCTCCTAACACTAGATACCATGGTGAAGGGCTCATGGAAGGACCACTGAAGACCATCCTCTACGCTGACGACATCGCCCTGATAGCGGATAGCAGAGAAGAACTTCAGGCCAAGGTGCAGAAATGGCAGAAGTCCTGGCAGAAGGTGGGCTCCGGCTAAATGATACACGCAAGCGACGCGCTTGCATACGGACTCTGAGAGGGTAGCAAGCTGTACGTTTGGCAGATGGTTTCTTTCCGAAGTCGTTTCCCATGGAGAACATCTAGCAGCACAACTCGAACCTCAAAACAGGTACAGTTATTAAAAAGAACTTTACCTAGTGGAGCGGTCGAGGGTCAAAGCACGTATTATTTGACGAATAAGGAAGCATGT